GTTCAAGATGCCCTCCAGTGGCACAGCGGTATGTCTGCAGACTTACAACGCTAGAAACCGGGTTTTGATACACGTGGAGGGCAGAGCACAGATAGCCCATTGTGTAGCTTTGTGCTTAACTTCAAACAACAACAACAATGTTTAACATAGTTATCATATAAAGTTTTGGGACAGCTTGAATAAGTAATAAAGAAAACTTTATAAGACGTTTAACATAGTAACAAATGTAGAACGTGTCGACAAGTTATCATCATCAGGTACCACTTGATGATGGCTAAGCCTTGTGGAAACGATGTATATTTGTTACTATGTTAAACCTGTAATATAGTTTTCTTTATTACCCATTCAAACTGTCCCCAAACTTTATTACTTATTCAAGCTGTCCCCAAACTTTATTACCCATTCAAGCTGTCCCCAAACTTTATTATCTACAAATTAGATTTCTCGTAACCAAATATGAATTTGCTTGTTTGCTTTAGAGCAAAGCCACATTGGGCCGTCTGCTGTGTCCTCCGCGGGGAATCGAACTCTGTATTTTAGCGTTGTAAATCCGGAAAATTACCGCTGTCCCACCGAGGACCAAAAATCGGAATATCACAGCTATTTATCATACACTTGATCACGTGTGAATCAGTGATGTTAAGTTTCTTATTTGAAAACTGATTATTGGATCCTTACTTTTGTGCTCCCTTCAGATTCGGAATGGTCAGGTATCGCTGGACCATGGCTTGATTAACTCCATAAACGGCTAACCAGGTGAAGCTGCCACCAATCCCGAGACTCCAAACAGTATGTCGTACAGTAGGGTCAAAACTGAAGCTACAAAGATTGAATAACAAATACACTTGTCAAACACAGAGTAACGCCAAGGCTTAAAGATTGTAATTGTCAGACTTGTTTTCTGGCCTACGAGGTCGTGAATGACCGCACCTATTAACATAAACACAAACACCTTATCACTATTCGTCATATCAATATTACAAAATTAGACATTATTCTTACGATGAATGTTGGAAAATAATCTGTACTGACTTCCTTGTTAGTAACTGTGTTCTTCATAGAACTTTTGCGCATGTCTTAACGTACAAAAACACGTGTTTCAGTGAAGTTTACAAGTCTTGTAATAATAATTCACAGTTTTTTATTAAGAAACAAAACAATGAAATAAAAGCAGATTAAACTCAAAATTTGCACTAGAAGATCAACTAAAGACAGTAGATCTAAGAATCAGCTGACAAGATTTATTACACTGTAGTTTACCAAACATAACAACACAACATTACACTAGTTTACCAAACATAAACAGTGTAATGTTGTGTTGTGTTTGGTAAACTACACAACGCAACATTACACTGTAGTTTACCAAACATAACAACACAACATTACACTAGTTTACCAAACATAATAGGTAGGGTGACTCGAGTATGTTGCGTTTAAGGATCGATGTCAGAAGGAAAAAGATTAAATTCACCATATGCACTGATATTGTATCTTTTTATTTGACTTATGGGTGTTTTAAAGCTTAAAACTAGAGGTCCTCTTCCATGGGATACTGAAGTCAAGACGAAAATGAGGATAGAAACGAGTACTTTTAAAACATGTGTAAAATGAATGTCGAGGCTTACTATTTCAATTAGCAGCATTCGTGTGATAATACTATAAACAAGGCCCCAACAGATAGTCAGCTTAAAGCATTTTGGAAAATTATCTGGCCTGGTTACTTGAATGCTGCTAAACAACAGAGATTTTATGCATTTGTCTAATAAGGAGTTGTAAATACGTATTGAAATTCTATAGTAAAATCTGTAATATGTCAATTTAAAAGCTAATTTAGCTTACGTAAACTGCATAGAAAAACTGAAAAGTTACAATAAAGTTTGAAAACGGGTTGAATGGGTAGTGTACAACGTTTCGACAAGCTTATGTCATCATCAGGTACAGGTAGTTTACATAAACACAAGGATGTATATATGTATACACTGTGGAACAAAGAGGTCACATGACAGAAGATTGCTTCACAGCTTAGTAAAGGTATCTTGGTGTTGGTTTAAAATAGGGCTGTTTTGTTCAATTAAAATAGCTTCTTTTATTTTGTGTTTGCTGATTTTTGGTTCTTTGTTTAAGATTACAGCGTTTTATATAGATATACTGTGTTGTTGTTTTTTGTTGGGTTTTTTTCGAGTTGCAAAACATGGAGGGTGTTATATCATGTTCTGTGAATATGGTTTCCAATTTACTTCCAGCTTCACTGATGTAAAATTATGGACATTTATTACACGTTATTATATAAATGACGTTGGTATTTGTGATTTTATATAACTTTTATTTGTAATGATTTTAGTGTAGGGCCGGGGTTTTGAGTGAATTTGAAGTCGACGGGAATTTTATGTTTAATAACAAGTTTTCTCCAAGTGTGAATTACTTTTGAACCGATTTCAGGGATGAATGGCAAACTGGAGTGTAATGTTGTGTTGTTGTTTGGTAAACTACAGTGTAATGTTGTGGCAAAACGTTAAACACTTTATCTAACTGGTTCAAAAAAATCATCTTTTACTTTTACACGATTAGTCTGCTTTGATAGAGTGTCCTCAAAGCGGTGTTTCGGGATATTTATATTGCTGGAACATAAAAAAAACAATTCCGATTGCACAGAGATATTCTACCAAATCCTCTTCTGACCAAGATTAAAGAGAACAATTGTAACAAAAACTTTGGTTTGACGAAATAATAAAACTAGAAGTAAGTACTAGTGCTTTAAGAATCTTTATTTGACTCGTATATCATTGTTTGCTTGTACATCATCAAAGATTTTCAATGTAGGCAAAATATTGTTTTGAATAAACAATTTCACATAAATAGAGAACGAAGCTTTAACTATCGAAGCGTCTTTTGATCACTAGTATGTTTTCCTATTTATTTCTACAATATGTATATTTCACTAATCATATTCATATTACAGTTATGACTAAACTGGAGAAATATAATTCCAAACCTTTCAATAGGACCTCTTCTCCCAAAAGCTAATAATTGATTAGTTCATGTTAAAAATAGTCAACGTTCATTTTGGAAAAACAAAAATAGAATACTTTAAAAGTTCTGAGTAAATCTGTTAAATGGATAATACTTTATTAACAATCTAAATAAATCGGTAAATAAAAATGTATTCTGAGACGATTTACTCCCCTGTGGCAGATATTTAGAATACAGACCCTCTGTTTTCGCCCCATTGCCTGATGCCTGCCAAGTCAAGGAATTTTAATAAAATAACTAAAGAGAGATGTACTTGAGTTAAATCAGTATAAGTGTAGGCGATTAGTGAGGGCACAACAGGGTGAAAAGTATCATGCCTAACCCTTCTAGGTTCCTTCTCGACCTTTTCGATTTTTTCTTTTTATTTTTGTAATCATGTAGCAAATTTCAATTTACGTCATCGAAAATTGTTGAAGGGTTCAAAATCAGGTTAACTTAAAGATACAACTGAGAATTACTATATAAACATAAAAAATCACTGGAAACAGAGGTAAATAAAATAATGTATTGTTTCTAAAGAACAGTTACATATTCATACCAATTTTCATGATAATTCTGAGGGTCCCTAGAAAATCTTGCTTTCGCATATTGAGCTTCAATGTAAAATTTCAAAACTCTAAGCCTAGATAGTTATTTTTTTAAAAAAAACAACAACATATTTATGCGAATTTTGAATCCATAAATCCAGTCCTAAGAGCCACCATTCGCCCAAACACGGTTCTAATTTGAAAATTTCCGAAACTTTAATTTATCGTTTCGAATGAATTTTTTCATGCTAATACGAATTTTCAATTTAATCAGTAGGTAAACCTAAGACCAACAAAACCCCCTCGCATTTTTGGTATCCTCTCATGACTTTATTGGAAATTATTTCTTCGTTTATATTCTGAGGAGGTCGAGTCATTTAATCAATAACTTGTGAAATGAGTTCACAAATTAAGTAAACATAGACGTAATAGACAGAAATGAGAGTTACTATATAGTTGGTAGAGGGTATAGGAAGAAGCTAAGTTTCTTACGTTCTAGTCATATATTATTCTCAATCGTTCACCTACAGTATCATGTAGGTTCGAACAAGCAGTGGCATGCAACCTGGGGGGAAATGGATTTGTTGTCTTGTATATATATATATATATACAATGCTGTTTTTTTATTCGGTCTGGGACAGCTACTTACAGAGATACAGACATATTTACTTGTCCACTGAGAGCTCTTAGTCCTTCAGTAAATGTGCTGCTCTTTGTCACACTTGTTTGGTTTGATTATTTATGGTATATAAATAAAAACTGTTCTATAATGTCACACACTGTGTACAGATCTTTTCGTTCAGAACTGAGGCACAATCAGAGAATTTATATTTAGTCTCTCAAAACACTTTCTGTCAAACCTTCTATTATTCCACAAAACTACCTAATTACTCCAAAGGAAAATCAGTGCATCTGAGAATACCATACAGTTAGCACCTAAGCAACTACAGAAGCTGTTATTTTGTGTGTTATACTGAATTAACATCTTTATTTTGCTCGAATTAGCGCATCCAAGCTGTAGAGGAATGATAGACTGGATTTATATACTGAAATATCTTAATTATTAATTACGTTCCAGTATTAAGTAACCGGGAAGCATTGAACAACACTGTGTGAGGGTTATTTCATTTTTCATTTTCAAACATAAATACAATAGAGCAATCGAAATCGTGTCTTTCTTATTTATACCCACTTGAGCTGTTTTGAAACTTTTTTGAAAAATAAGTCATTTAATATTTATGAGTTTCAATGAATGACATTATTGTAACATGCCTTGTGATGCATCAATAAATAAATGTGTTTTCATTATTAATACTATCTATTTAAAAGTACATTCTAATTTTCTGACAGAAACTTCTTAAACTTAAATACATACGATACAATAGAGGTCATAAGCTACAAGCAAACTCTGCAAAAAATTTCCAAATTAAACAGGTATCATGTTTAAGAAACATTTTCAATTGCCGTAGGACTTTTTCTTCGTTCATCATGAAGGTTGAAGCCCTTAACAATGGTTTCCAGTATGAAGTGGATGGTTATTTTGTAGATATTTTCCATGTTAGCTGTGTACCGATCTCCCAAAGTTTCCTGAACAGCAGCCAAGAAAGGTTGTTCAATGTTCTGTAAGAACAAAGTTCATTGTTCATCTAAATGCTCTGTTTGAGTCAATGCATAATACAAGCTCAACTTTTGTATTTATGAAGTATAAGATAGTAAAACTGTAATGGTTACAATCTTTGGCTAATGATAAAAATATAGCATGTAATCAAAGTAGCTTCTTCCCGTGAAAACCAAGTGGACATTGATACCAACGCCAACAAATAATCAAATGAAAGTTGTTTTAGTATACAACGTGGCCCTAGAAACAAATTGTATCACCGATAACTAAATATCTCTTTGTGGTATCTGTTTTTTTTTATGTGGCTCAGGGGTGACGCTAAAAATCGGATTTCGATACCTGTGGTGGGCACATCACAGATACTCCTATTTTTAGCGTTATAAGCGCTCAGACTTATCGCTAAGTGACCGGAAGGGGTGGGGGCTACACAATAGGATTTCTGAATATGAACGTTCATAATTTTGAACTGATAGACCAGAGAAAATGCAAGTAGTCACCATCACCCACTGTCTTTGAGCTGTTCTTGTCTGATCTGAGTGGGATTTGACCGCCGCACTTATAGTTCATTCACAGCCCTAAAGAACATAGCACGTTTTTAAGAAAACAAGAAGTGAGCCAGGAATCCTCAGATCCACAGTGCGAATACGCTAACTACTAGCATACGCCCGGTCTTTGAGAGGCGAAAACTAAACTAAATATAACCGTCCAATTCGAATTTGTGGGTTTGTTACTTGCTGAGTAAGAATTTAAGTTCTGACTAGGCTGATAATCACATTTTACCTCATTAAAACTCAAAGACTAATGTAGATTTTGGAGTAGAGACTAAGGAAATGTTAAAATCACATATAAAGTAGAAGCGGTGAAATATATAATATATATTGAAAATGTAATGAAAACATCACCAGATATAGTCTGTAGAGTGAAATAAAACATATATATAATGTCCAGTGTAATAACATTTGTTACTGTAACTTATAAGTTATGTCCAGTGTAATGGCATTTGTTATTGTAACTTATAAGTTATGTCCAGTGTAATGGTTAATATTTGTTATTGTAACTTATAAGTTATGTCCAGTGTAATAACATTTGTTACTGTAACTTATAAGTTATGTCCAGTGTAATGGCATTTGTTATTGTAACTTATAAGTTATGTCCAGTATAATGGTTAATATTTGTTATTGTAACTTATAAGTTATGTCCAGTGTAATGATTAATATTTGTTATTGTAACTTATAAGTTATGTCCAGTGTAATGGTTAATATTTGTTATTGTAACTTATAAGTTATGTCAAGTGTAATGGTTAATATTTGTTATTGTAACTTATAAGTTATGTCCAGTGTAATGGTTAATATTTGTTATTGTAACTTATAAGTTATGTCAAGTGTAATGGTTAATATTTCTCATTGTAACTTATAAGTTATGTATTGAAGTACTAAACTTACCCAGAAATACTCCTTCTTGAAACTGGCAATATTTCGATGAAACCGCCCCACGGATTCTAAATACTCAATAAAGTAATCCACACGATCAAGAGCCCGTAGTCCTTCGTCCAAGGTTGCCATGACGATGGAAGCATGTTGAGCAAGTTCCATACTATCCTTCTGGGATTCTTGAGTGTTTAGTGACTGGAACTTAGTGAACAGATTTAGAAGATCGGAATTTTCTTGGAACAGCCTATAATTATATGGGAGCATAATGTGACATTGTATGAAGTTTTCATTTTGTTAAAACGCAAAACAATCTAAACAAGAGGGAGTCCTCAATAGCCGTGACACTTTTAGGCAGCATTAGATTAAATTAATCTATGAGACCTTTTTCTTTTTATTAGCTATATTTTTATGCGCCTACAATAACAAGAGTGAAACCCGTCTACACACGATTCGATTTTATTACTCTTTAGGATCGTTACCAGCCTACCCTCAAATTGAAATTCTTTTAGGCATGATGAAAATAAATTAATCTATGATACCTTGGGCGTGGTCAAATACACCAATCGAAAGGGTTAGACTTCCTAAGTCCAAAACTGTAATTATATCTCAAATCAGCCTAGAGATGACGAAACTATGATCTAAAAGCTCGTACTTGAAAACACAAAAAAACTCAGAGACATTCTATGAGCCACTATGCCGCGGCTAAAAAAATTTCAAGTTGTGAGATAAAGTAGTGCCAAATTGTGAACAAAATAATGTAAGTTTCTCTATGTATACGTTTTGGTAATATAAGTACACTTCCATGATAAATTGTAACTGAACAGATAGGATAAAACAACTAAACTTTAAGACTTAAAGACATGCATTAGCTATTGCTTCGCTTTTGGCTTACACTGCTAGCCTTAAAGATATGGGACTTATGTATAAATTTATATACTCTCACATATGTATAAAGACAAAATGCTGCTCAATTATTAACTTGGTTGATCTAAAATATACTGTTAAATAGCTTTAAACTTGAAAATAAGGCGATATTATATTAGTTTACCTGAATGTAAACGGAAGAGGGGAGAGGTTTGTTATTTTTTTATGCCAGCAGGATTGAGTCAGACCTCTTGGTTCATCATCAATGTTTTAGTGAATGTTCATTCTATCTGTGGCGTAGCATTGGTGTAACACTTGCCTACCTCTAACAGAATACTTGGCAGTTAAAATTGCTAGATTTTACACTTCCATTACTACAACATTCAAGTATACTCAAAATTATCTTTATATCCTTTCTTACAGGTGTGTTACATTTAATTAATGCCCTTATGAACAAGATTTAAGTAGTCATTAGCATGTTTTAATCCTTATATTGGTTGAAAATACATGTTACAGTGGCCATTCCAAAGTTTTTATTTGATGTTTCTGTATGAGTTCCTTCCTGGGATGCGACTAACACCCAAGTAAAGGGCTTTTTAAAGATGTGTGTGAGCTAGTATGAATCTCTAGTTAGTCTTTCATTGAATATGTATAACGATAATGATTACAGACGATGTCATGTAGGACTGTTGGGTAGCACTAGGTATTTGGTCTGACTTGAACGTTTAATATAGACCGAATCCTGCAGTTTTTGTGTTGCAAAAATATGACTTCTCTCAGCTCCAGCAGCCAGAAAAGTTAATCCCTGGCTTTAAAGCCAAAGAGATCAAACTGCAAGACCCCAGGATATCTTGGTTGTCAAACATTTATTAAACAAACATGTTATATTTATTTGTACGTTTGTGTTTAAGTGTTTTCTTTGCTGCCCATGTACAATTTATTCCCGATAATACATTTTCCTCTACCTTTTATCTTGAAAACTTAATGTTTACTTTTGCTTCCAATTTCATCTCAAGATGTCACAATCTAAGCCATTAAGTTATTTTTTTTTGTTTCCAGACCTAAATATATTTTTCTGTAGTTTCTTTTAAAATATCTTCATTTTTTTACTGTCTGTTCTCTGTTAACTTTGTAAACTGATGTTATATAAACACATTATCTAAAAAACATTGAATTTACTATGTAGAAAAATAAGATTTAATTAAGGAGATGGTCCAATCTGTGAGTGTGGTAATAATTAAGAGTAGACATCTCCAGAACAACAAGCTAATGCTAACCGTGTTGAGATTCATATCTACATTATTAATCCATCCTAAGGACTAACAGATTAAAAGGTAGCTAGGAAAAATTCCTGGCCACCATACCACTTCTATCTCTAGTGATAGACTCTTGTGTGCAGGAGCACAGTGTAGAAAAGATGTGACCCAACTCTAATTACCAAGCTGAGTATACTGAGGCTCTTGAATTGGTCTCTGTGGAACATGTAGACATACACTGACAGCCCAGATATTGCCAAACATCTGTGAAGGCTGCCTATAACAAGAAAGAGAGTTGAGTGCAAAAGTGGTTGAATTCTGGTATGAACAACTGCAGCATTGCCAGTTGAAATGATGTGTTTAAAATTCCACCACTACCCTTCTTGTAGCTAGATTAGTCAGACATCATTCAGAAAGGCAAGAAATGAACACTAATGACACCTTGAGACCACATCTAGTAAGTAATGTGTATGAAAAACACAAACAAATATCAATCATTATACATAATGCATTCTGGCACTATTTACAGGGATATGTGCTGTTTTTCTGACCTCTCAGTGCCACTGCATTTGTGAAGACGTGCATGGCTTTAGAATTGTGGAAGAAAGAGAGGACATACCTCGGGCAATGACATTGCTTAAGTTGCACAATGGTAGAGAGATATATTGGAAGCAAGTTTTTATTTGCAAAATGTTTCAAAAAACTGAAGAACTGAAGCAGGTTAACCCATCAGTATCTAAAAGATCATTAAAGGAAAATTTGGGCTGTTTTCCCAGACATTCCAAGCAGTTTGTCTTTTGGGAATGTAGAAGTCAGGGACAGAAGACGTGGTGTCTGATGCTGGGTTTGGGTGATTCAGCTCTTGATACATAGAACCACTTAGATGAGGAGAAACTTAATGAATGAAATAGCTCTTGCTAAGTTGTGTTACAGATTTATTACTGTGAGAACCAAGCAATCAATAGAGTCAACACAACAATCTGAGAATATTACATAGCAAGGACCATTAGGTCTTGACAGAGATATAAACAGACAACATGGTTGCCACAGATGCTACAATGCATTATGAAGCAAAAAATATACAGTTCTATAGGACAGTGGGGGTTTTGCAGGTCTAATTGCCATGACTATATAATTTACTGAAACAGTAGATGTTGCTTTATAAAAAATGTCAAGAACCTGAGAGATGGAACTTCTATGGCTTACAAAGTCAATGAATGTTGGATTGGTCCTTTCCTTTTGTGAAACAGGATAGGCAAACATAAACTCTTTCCTGAATGTCACTAAATAAAATATAGAAGGATTGTTTGTTTCTTTGAAGCTAAGCACAAAGCTACACAGTGGGCAATCTGTGCTCTACCCACCACGGGTATCGTAACCCGTTTTCTAGCATTGTAAGTCCGCAGACATGCTGCTGTGGTACTGGGGGCATATAAAAGGATCCAAACCAGTCAATGGTTTTAAATGCACTAGCTAGTCTAAACTGATTTAACCTGAGTTGGTCTGCCCATTAGATGAATCTGCTCTTTTGCACAAATGCTACCTAGTTACAACCAACTTGGGTAACAAGGGCTGCATACAGGATGTTAAGAATGAGGTTGTAGTGCTTACAGATGTGCATTTGGTATTTCTTAGTGTGCCACTGATGCATTGTCACTGTCTATTGTAGTAACAGGCCTGATACATAGAAAACAATAGTTTTCTGTCCAAAAAGTAGGCTTTATTGGCTTAGACATTTAACTGTATGAGTGTTGACATTGTACCAGTGCAGGTTTGTAATTATGAACATTTGGCTTTTCATCTTCCAGCTAGAATGGTTATGTTAGTTATCAAGTAGTAATCATGAGAAGAAAATGCAGCATCATGACTCTTTGTGGACTTCAGATGAGCGAATATGAAAACGTGTTTCAAGGACTTTTCTCAGTTGCCAAAGAGAGATGAATGTTTGAATATATTAGAAGGCAACAGATATATCTTAGATGACTCTTAACACCCAGGAAGAACTGTGTAAATTGTTATCATGTCATTGAACCTATGCAACAAACATGGCTTTTCTAGTAGGCTGATGGCTGCAATGATGCTATATCTATATGGGATTAACTTTTGATTTTTGGTCATATGTTGCAGGCTGCCACTGCCAGTGGTTTTTCAGCATATCAACGATTTAGGCTAGAAGTTTAAACTAGGGAATTACAATCTTGACTAAAATGTTTGCATTTTTTGTCACAAAGAAGATCATTATTATTAAGATGTAATATAGATGCACTTAGCACTATAAAACTGAGAAATACATGTTATATTAAACATCTACACATGTAATTTGTATAATGAGGCAGGTTCTATGGGCATCATGAATGATTTATTAGAATAGCAAACAGTTTTACCAGACACCTTTAGAAAGATGTGTAATTCAGCATTTCGCCTATCACAACAAAACCTTACCAAAACATATATGATGACAAAATATAATATCAAATTATTATAAATAACATCTGTAACCTTATATCAGTTCATATTAAACACCCAGTACTTGGTTGGTCCTCATTGTACTCTAATAACCTTTGCAAGGCAACGTGGCATGGTTTCGACGAGAGTATTGATGTAATCCACCATGATTTCATCTCAACATGTCACTAGAAGCACTGAAAATTAGCTACAGTTGCTAGGTTAGGGTCACAGTTAGTAATTGTCCGACTCATTTCTGCCCAATAGTTCTCAATGGGATTACAATCTGGAGACACTGATGGCATGGAAATCTTGTAACATCCTCCTCGTCGAGATAATTCTGTACAATACGTGCTCTGTGGTCATTGGCATTGTTATCTTGGAAAACAAAGTTATTGCCAAACATTGCCCTGGTATATGACAGAAATATCACCTTCGCGTGATGCATGCAATCATGGAGAATATGAAGACTAGTTTTTCTACCATGATGAATAGCTGTCTAAACATGTACTGCACCATCTCTTGAGTGTACTCTGTGGAAAAAAGTTTTTTCTCATCTGTTCTCCTGGTAAACGACGAACATGGATCCTACCAACAGCTTCAGCAAGCCGAAAATAGGACGTAGCTGTTGTCAGTGTTCTAACTGTAAGTTGGCATGCTGTCTTGCCCAAATAATACAGTGAATTCTGATTAATATCTGTTTGCAGATAGCCCTTCTTGCAAAATAACCTTATTTGGCCAGTCTCCTATTCACTATTCGTAAGATATTGCAAGGCTTCTTTCGATCTTGACGTGACATGTTAAACTGGCCAAAACACGGTCATCTAAGGCAGTAGTTTTTTGGCCTATAACATTAAATTTTCCTGTAGTTCGATGACGTTTGAGGATGCTGGATACAGTACACTCGGGGTACCCTGCTGTTCTGGCAATGTCCGTTTGCTTCATACCATTTTTTGGACAGTTGAACAATTTGATGCCCTATAACTTCTGGTATGTGACGAGGCACGACTCTACTCCAAGTACAGAGAAATTGTCTGAACAAAATGTTGATTTGTTTCGAAAAAGGTTATACCAAAAGCACACCCTTTGTACAAAAGAGCTGTGTATGTGTGTTTTGACGAACAAATGTTCAAAATAACTTATAAAGACCAGAATAACAACTCATACATGTTTCTCCAATCATACGCTACCTTCTCTGCTATTACTCTGGCATTTATTCAATAACTACTCCATGCATGTAGACAGTAACATCAATATCGAACAGTATACAAACATTTTGGCCAAGACTATATATTTATGGTATAAGTGGTTACGCAAAGCATTGTACGTAAAAAGAGATAACATGATAAAACAATTGTAGAATAGAAATTTGAAGCTAATGACTGAGTGTAGTTATGATCCATATTTGCAGTGTGTATGCAACTCAGTTAGGTTTATACTGGCCCATATCCCAAAAACCAATAGTTCAAGGAGGTGAATGATGACCTGAAACAGTAAAAAATGTCAAACACGTCGACAAGTCACCGTTAAGTCATATATGAGCAAGTGGGTTCTAATGACAGAGAATTGTGATGTATGATCTTCATTATGCTTATGAGTATGTTAACAGATACCTAGTGTCCTGTGAAGAGTCAGGTGAAGAAATATCATTAGAAAAGTCCACACTTCTTCCAACTGTTAAAATGCCTTCAGATGGTCTACCGTCTTTTCATGTTGTTTAAGTGTTGTCAGTTTTCCAGTCCTCTTCTTTCATTGACAACTTTGCCGAAAATCTTGCAACAAAAAGCAACAACAACAAAACAATATTACACTTCATTGCGTGTGACCGAATGTTTAACACATTATCTTGGTACTTTTTCTTAATTTACAAGTTAATAACTTGTGAATTTCCTCTTCTGTCTTCTTCAGAAAAGTGAAATACTTGCAGTTGTACATGACCAATTTTGAAAAACAATTATCATATCTTTGAGTCAATATTTCGCCATTTAGATGGATTATCCAAGTCAAATATTTTTGTTTTCTCTCTCTGACTTTCTTGCCTTTGTCATAAGAAGTACCTTTTTTTTATCAATTTCTGAGAGAGCGTAGCAAAGAGTTGTGTCAGCATTTCTTTCATTATTTTTAACACTTGCAATATATTTTGGGTCATTCTAACTGTAGTAGTTTTTTAATAATTTTTCCATTCGGTTTATCAAATCTGTATCTTTTATTGCTTTCATTTTCGACATTGAACACCAAATATTATGCTTCCATAATTCTATTGTTTACTACTTTTGAATTGTCACTGTTGTAATTTTCAGTTCTGTATCTGTCTTGTACTTTATAGAAATTGTAAATTAATTCAACTATACTATTTAACGTTGCTTCCAGAAAGAAAATTATTGCAGTCTGTCAACCTCGTACCTTTTTAATATATCACAGTGGCCCAATATTCAGCTTTCTTTAGACATTTCGAGTTACACATTTTATGAAACATTTTTATTATGCACTTTCCCTGAGTTCCTCAGTGGACTTTAAGTGAGCTTACGGACTTACAACACTAAAATCTTTGGTTTGATTCCCCATGGTAAACAGAACGCAGATAGCCTAACTTGTAGCTTTGTGCTAAAACAAATAAGCTCTTCCTGAAAAAAACAACATATCTATATTGTATAGTGTAAGAAACTGTACTCTCCGTCTTAGCTCTTAAAATGGCCACTCGCGGCAGTTGCACTCATCTGAGGTTGCATAACAAGAGAGTTGATGTCATAAACTTACAGCTAGTGATTTCATAGATAAAAGTATTTTTATTTCATTGTCCTAGGAAATTGCCTACTTTGGCCATCCGATAGCGCCAACCAAGTTTCTACGTTTTCCGTTTAATTTTATTCCTGAATTTTATAACCTGAATTTATTTACGTTGAAATTGAATTTTCTTCTGATTTTATTTCAATTATTGTACCTCTCACATAACATTAATGGTACACTGATTTCCTGAAATCAATAATTGTACTGATGTACCTTTCACTGAATAGAATACATTAACCAATGTACAACTGATGTAACGTTAGTGTAAAATTAATTAACTGAAAATGATAAAATTATTGTATATCTAGTAATGGTTTGAACACTTTTTGTATAGACCACGAACTGGTGTATCATAAATGTAACATTGATTTAGACGAGGTATGTAACTTAATACTCATAGCTTATAAACGTCTTATAGTCTTTAATGTTATGCTGCACTGCTGAAAACGTGACTTTGGGCTTACTTAATGAACATGGTTACGCCTGTAGATTCCATTGCACGAGCAATTCCTTTCCAAGAACTGAGAATACTGAACCGTTGTTTCATTGTGAGGGGGAGTCGAGGATCAGCTGGTGGTGGAACTGGGGAATCATTCGCGCTGACACCGCCAGCCGGCTTCACGGCAGTGATCGTACTTTTTGTTACAGCACAACCCATGATCGTTATCGAAAATAGTAAAACAGTAAAATTACTGATGTGTTTCTTTCATGTTTTTCTTTTTTCACTTGTATTTTTACGGTTTTGATATTCTAGTTTACGCAACTAAACTTCCAGCTTTTTGTTGTTGTTGTTCACCTTCCCTTATGCTCTTTTCTTTTAGCGACTGTTCGATGTTGCTTTCAGCTTCTAGGAATTATGGGTGAGAAGCTATTTATTTCCTATTTCTGAAGTGACCACTCTCTGGGGACCTCTTTTGGATGTTAGACTAACATAGCTTGCGTTCTTATATCCTTTGGAAGCATTCCTCCGCGCTATAATTTTGCAAAATTTTATATTTCAAAATTATGAAATTAAATTTTGTTTTTAGGTTTAATTAAAAGTAACTTTTGTACTCAAAAGCTTATTTTATTTGGACCTCTTCGCATATGTTATTTTCTTATTTCGATGCTATGTTTCTCTTCACCACAATTTTGAACTGAAGTTTCAGTTTTATACTTTCTTCTCAGAATAATGGCGCCCTTTCTTCACAGTTTTTTTCCAGGAAACCAGTAGCTCTTTAAATCTTCTTAAGACATAATGTTGGAGATTCTAGTTCGTTTGTTATTTGTCAATCTTGAGCTGTAAGAAAAGACAAGTCTTAGTAAAAATATGGTCTAACTTATCCTTTTTAATTTAATTTTTTAAATGTAGACTATACAGAAAATTGTGAGGTTATAGTCTGATTTAATTTATTTCTGAAAGAAAAAAAGATTATACAGATAGTTTGTAAAGTAAAAGTATATAGTACATCAATAAAAATGTTTTATTATGTCAGTGATTTCTTTAGGTCGATGTACCTTGGTGAGTCAGCGGTACGGACTTAGTTACAACCCTAAAATCCATGGTTAGATTCTCCGCTGTGGAAAGAACACAGGTAGCCTTTTATGTGGCTTTGCGCTGAAAACAAGCAAGCCTTATGCCAATATGTTTAACCAAAATTGTTTCTTGAACTTGTAACAACAGTGGTGCTATGATGTGCAAAAAATCAGCAAGATGGTATCGGCTACTGTTGTGAAGAAGCAGTGTCTACTTAATTTATCTTAATAAACAAATAAAATACTTTAATGATATGTTACGTTATGTAAAAGTAACATGAAATACATTATTATGTTGACATTTCTGCCATGTCAAACAGTTAAAGCATTGTTGTGGTACGTTAAAAATAAAGACATACACGCAGAACATAAGTTTGGGCATCGATTTGTATTGTAAACTGACAACATTAAAGTTAGATCTCATTTAATGAAATTTGAAAGAGTGTAGTGACATGTTAACTAGTAAAAACATACCAGTGGGACATCGGTTTCTGTTCTCAAATAGCACTATTAAATTTCGATTTCATTAAATAAAAGTTTAAAGATTTCAACATTTACCGCCAACGCTTGGGTTACTCTAATCGAATGGTGGGATTGACCAAACATTATAACATCACCACTGCGTAAACAGCGAACATGTTTGGTAATGAGATTCGAAACCGAGACCCACAGATTGCAAGTCGAGCGCCCTGATAACCAGGCCATGCCAGGCCTCAAGCAGAGTTACAGCATTTTCTGGAGTGACCACCCTCTGTAAACCTTTCATTGACTTTACACCAACACAGCTTCTTGCTGAGCTGCTTCATCTTCTGGAGTGACCACTCTCTGTAAACCTTTCTTTGACTTTACACCAACACAGCTTGCTTGCTGAGCCACTTCATCTTCTGGGATGACCACTCTCTGTAAATCTTTCATTGACTATACACCAACACAGCTTGTTGCTGAAACACTTCATCTTCTGGAGTGACCACTCTCTGTGAATCTTTCTTTGACTTTACACCAACACAGCATGCTTGCTGAGCCACTTCATCTTCTGGGATGACCACTCTCTGTAAACCTTTCTTTGGCTTTACACCAACACAGCATGCTTGCTGAGCCACTTCATCCTCTGGGATGACCACTCTCTGTAAACCTTTCTTTGGCTTTACACCAACACAGCTTGCTTGCTGAGCCACTTCATCTTCTGGAGTGACCACTCTCTGTAAACTCTTCATTGACTTTACACCAACACAGCTTGCTTGCTGAGCCACTTCATCTTCTGGAGTGACCACTCTCTGTAAACGTTTACAGAGAGTGGTCACTCCAGAAGATGAAGTGGCTCAGCAAGCAAGCTGTGTTGGTGTATAGTCAATGAAGACTTTCATTGACTATACACCAACACAGCTTGCTCGCTGAGCCACTTCATCTTCTGGAGTGACCACTCTCTGTAAACCCTTCTTTGACTTTATATCGACAAAGCTTTCTTCTTCTTCTTCTTTTACTCCACACTATATAATTTCAAGAAGAATAGTTTGTATTTAAGATTTGATTTACAATAATTTTTATTCTAGGTAATTAACTTTATTCTTAACCTTTCCAATATAGTTTTGTTGCTGGTTTGATGGCGTGTTTCTTTTCTAAGCATTTTTGCATGAGTTTCAACGGTATGTCCTTTTTCAAGGTTATAGAGTTTTTTCTCGGCAAATTTCTGTGTGGCATCATTATTACTTGTTTTAGGCGCATCGTTGAAATTTCAGTCTGGTATTTCAATCTTGATTTGTAAAAGAATAAATAATATGTCGCAATGAAAATGTTTGTGTAACATAAATTTCAAGAAGGATTATTTCTAGTATGTACGGAAATTTGTTACGATATATTAAATCAAAATTATAGGCAAAGCTGGAAAACAACTTTTTCATGATATTTTATTTAAACGTATAACAACAGTGATGTTTTGACTTCTGAGCCAACTGACCGTTTAATTTTCTTGCTAAACGAAATACGAGTTGGGTTAGTTTTATCAAGCCTGACCAATAGCTTGACATCAACGTTTCCTAGAAATAAAATGTTCTGAGGTGAAAAGTTCAAGATTCGAGGCAAAAAAAAAGTTTATTCTTAAACGTAAAACAGATATCGCTTCTCCATCAGGTGTTACACAGTTTTGTTGTATAGGACATTGTCTGTACCTTTTGTATGCAGTTGTGAATTTATCGCGTTTCTTCAAACAGACTATTGTTTTTTTTGAAACATGTAGTATATTCTCTATATAAAACTAGATACAATTCCGCATGATCCCCGAAAGTGTTCTGTTTAAAGAGTAAATAAAACCAAAATTAAGAGTAACAAATATTTTTATTTGATGCTTTCGAAGTTCATATGTCATGCTGTGCTGTAGCCTACAGAATATATAATTCTTATCGTGATTCATGGCATGCGCACGTTTTACTGACGTCACGACAGTGCAAATTGCAACGTTAAGCATACCTTATATGACGTCATTTTAATGTCTACTGACTGACTGACAGACAACACACTAATGTATAGTAAGTAGTACGAGTGGTTAAAACAGGTGACTCCTCCAGGAGGCCTTCGGCCCCCTTTCGGGGAAATAATTTTCATTGTGGTTATAATTCGTTGTTTATCAGCTTACTATTAACGAAACAATTCACAGTTGTCACGAGTAAAGCTTTTACTGACTCTTTTGTTATTATTATTCGAAGAAAGAGAACGTTTTAGAAGTTCTCTCAACTGTTCCAAATCAGACATGTAGCAACTTTATAGCGCTAATGACACCGGAGTAATATATTATTAATGCTGTAATAGGACGCTAAACTGAGCAGACGTAACCTCTTAAGAACGAAGCACAGAGAAAGAACTAGTGCATGCTCTCTTTAATGGGTTTCTAAAAGTCATCTAATATATTATTCATTGTTAGGACTGTTAGCCGGTGCACAATTGTTGGAAACCAATACACAGTCAGCAATCTTTGTTACCATCACGACAATAACACATTTGGAAGTAACAAAGTTTCCGTCATTTGCCATAATGAACGTCTAAAACACTTAAGACCGCGAAGCATGTAATACATGCAAGTAGGTTCATTGTTTTCTGTTGTGAAGTAATAACATTGGTTTGGTTTACTTTAATGAGTAATTAACAAACTAAAGTAATACGTTACCTTAGTAAGATAGACAAAGAACATCAAAATGTCATAGATTTATTTTTCAACATCGTTAGCTTGAATAGCTTTATATAATAAACAGTTGAAATAATGCATTTATACTTTAATATATATACATCGACGTTTTGTCTTCGGTATCGTTAGTTTGGTTTTCTAAACACGTCTTGATCCAATAATTTAAACGTCTGATATCAAACTGGAGTAAAATATATAAAAGATATCCTAATGAGTTTTCACAGTCGTTCGAAATGTTACGCCTAATACTTTTAAAGAAATATTTCATCAGAAAAAACAGAAAGAATCTGGAAAAGCATTATAGACAGGATATGTCACAACGTCTGCAGATATAACAGCCAGCAAGTTTGTTTCACTTGCAAAAACTTGGAACTCGGTTATAAGCTTCAAACATTGCAACCTTCATATTTGTTTGTTTTTAAATTACTCGCATAACAACTCAAGAACTATCTGCGCTAGCCTTACGTAATTTAGCAGTGATAGACCTAGAGGGAAGGCAGCTGGTCAACACCACCCTCTTGGGCTACTCTTTTATCAACCCGCAGATCGCGAGTAGATATCCCTAACCTTCATGTAGTTATTCTTATACTTATGATTAAAATAAGTGCAAACGACATTATCAAAGAACATGATAAATTTCAACAGAACTCACACTTGATACAAATATAACAATAATGTAATTCCCAAGTTATTCTGGGTTTCTACACTCCACTAGTCATCTTATAATCATTCATAGCTGGAGCCAAATAAGCCTGTACAAAAACTTTATCCCTTTTAATAAGTAAATATTTTAAGTACATCAAAGAACACTGAAGAATTATTGTAGCGTTATGAAAGAGAGGAGACGTATTAATTCATACATAGTTATTCCATAGAATACAAACAACAACTAAAATCTTTCGCAGCTAAGCTTCTCGAAATATTTGAATTCAGTATTCTCAATATCACTCTGCCTTTACGTAAAATCA